GGGATAGCCATGAATTTCCAATTGCTACTGAAGTTAGATTATTTTGATGCCCAAACCTCAGAGAATCTGATATTTGTAGTTTGATTATTGTCAGTTGTCTATTTAAGAAAGTAATTAATCTTCTGAAAAGAATATGTCACACTCTTATCTCCAAGATCTCAACGTATACCCATGGAGGGCCCTTGTCTAGAAATCCACTTATGTTGTGAGAATAACGTTAACAGCGTGTGTATTTGACATCCATATCATTTTTTCCTGGCAAGCCCAATCTCTGATTAGATTATACAAATAGACGTAAGAAATTCACCTGACCCATGGCATTGATTTTCATAGTTAAATGTATAGCAACTGAGTTGAATGAAATTTCTGTCATTGAGTGATTAGCCTTTCTGGCATGTGTAGCGCACAGGACTGAGTTGCCAGTTAGCCATATATAAACTCGTGCCCGAGGAGCAGCGTCACATCTCTGACGCTGTCCCATCATATCTCAGGTATGTGTACGTTCTCACGCCCACCATATGAAGTCAGTTTAACTTAGTGAATTTTGTGAATATCAATGTTCATGTTGTAACAGTGAAATTATCATTTACCCAGTTAAAGAATTAATGTAACATAAATATCGTCTGTCATGGCCAGACGGAAGATTGTTTGTGATTGAATTATTTTTCACATCTCTGATGCTGTCCCATCATATCTCAGGCACAGTGTGTGTGTTAGCTGAATACCCGACAATCACCGGGAGACTGGTAGCTGCACACCACCTGGCTGCCTTGCAGGATATCGTTAATTTGGCATGATTAAATTGTGCCAGTAAGCACCCTGGGAACTAAGCCCGAACTCCCTCGCCGTGTGTCGGACTTTAACTTACCCAAGCAGCGCTCTCCGTTTGTCGTGGTAACACCAGTGTGACATCCTGGGGCACTCCTTACAGTTATATGGGTCAAAGCATTATTGTTGTATATGATTGGGGATGATTAGCAGAAATATAGTTATCCCATGTTGAGTAGTGAACCCATAAATATTGATAGTACCAATAATAACGTGTTATGTGTTGTGAGTACATCCTCCATATGTACTACCAACTGAGTTCTAGTGAAGGTACCATATGTAAGCTTGTCATGTTGTGTGTTCTTTTAAATGTACAACCAGTAATGATATTAGAAGAAAGAGTATCTAATTGGAATTGCAGATGGGTAAAGCCAAGAAGTTGATCCTTGTAGATGTATGTTAATGACATCTTCAACCAAATTAAATTTCATATTAATAAACCATTTTTAGAGTATGTTAGGGGCATCATTTTCCCTCAGTATGTACCTCTCTTCTTGTCCAATAGCTTGATACCAGAATTACAGAACCCATGTGCCCAAACCCTCGTCATGCTACCAAAGGTCAGAGGTTATGAAGTAACTATAGGAAATAAAATAATTAGACAGAACTAACGGAGAAAATGAATAAAATAAGAAAATAAAATAAAACACAAAAGAACAGAAAAAAAGAAAGCCCCCACCTCCCTGCCCTTACAGTAGGACCCACGTTTTGACACGTTTCTTTACTCGGTAAAAACCAGCAAAGTACAAATTACATATGTTACATATGAGATAATTAATTCACTCGTACGTTCCTTCACTATTAATAACTACATATGATATATTTGAGTAGAGTGGGGTGTTAAACTATATAAAAACTTACGTGTTTCGGGTCTAATGTAGGACTTATTAGCTCACTGGACAGCTGGAGACTATCTTCTGAACCACACAGGGAGCGAGTTAGCCAGCCCCAAGGCGAGGGCCATCTATTTCATATTTAACATCTCAGTAAAGTTCGTTGTAAACATGCACTCTATCTCTCTCCTGTCTCCATTTCTCTCTCTCTCTCTCTCTATCCCTCTCTCTTCTAGTTTATCCTACTGTGGCAGTAACACAGTCGTAAATTATAAGAACAAGGTCATCTCGTAAGTCTTCTGAAAGCATTATCTCTAGTTTTTTTGGTAGTTGTTTCTTAGCGTAGAGATTGACTATGTTCTTTGCTCAAATAATTTGGTAAATATTTTGAAGTTGCCAACACCTACTTACTGTGTATATTGAGTGTTATATAGGGAGAAAGAGGAAAAAAAATCAATAACGTTTCTGTCAGAAATTGATATTTTTCGAGTATTTTAACCGATAAAATTACCAACAATATTATTTATTCAAATTGGACAGGTTAGTTTTTTAGTTTTAGTTTAACAAATTTTTTGACAAAGCTTGTGAGTACAGTTTGCCTATTCTGAGTAATTCAGTCAGGTCTTGACACTGAGGGTGGTATTGTAGTGGACATCTCCCCTACAACTTCTACTGCAGTTTGTCGCTGACTAGCCGACCCCTGTTCGAATTCCCCAGCTTACGCCAAGTGGTCTAACGTCGGTAACCAGTGCCGCCTAACAAAGCGGAGGTCAACTATCAAGCCACGCCTACCCCCGCTATATAAGACCTCACCCCGCCGTGACCTGCCCTTCTTCTCCCTACAGCCACCAGCAAGCAAACCCTCCTCTGAGCACCCTCACCAACCAGTTCTCTTTACTCCACGCTTGTAACCACGCTGCCACTTCCCAGCACCAAGCTGCATTGTACATCCAATACGATATATGTACAGAGAGCACATTGTGAGTTTCATTTCTCCATCCCATCCTGAGTGTGAACTAATATATCAAAACCCCACAAATGGTGACCCCCAGAGAATCACACTCACACAGGATGGAGGAGAAACTGATCACTCTCCCAGCCTTCAATCACAACATTGAAGACTGGCTTATCCACACGGAGGCAGCTCTCATCGGCTCTACAGCTACAGTCTCTGCACCACAGCTTAGACACCCTAGAGCAGCTCTGCTCCTCTAAGCATGCAGCTGCTCCTTTTCCTGCCCCAAGCACCACGTCCTACCGACCCCAACTCATGATTATGAGATCAAAGATGATGTTACCCAGCATCCACTCACTGTGTCAACTAACTATAGTGATGATACGTCTGTCACTAATAATGCACTTGATAGAGGGAATAGTCCTAGAAGATCAAACAGAGTTAGGAGACCTGTAATGAAATTAGACCTCTGATTATCTGAATTGTGAACAGGCCTTTCAAAACTGCTTAGTCAGGAAGTTATATCTCTTGTGTTCTATTCTCTTCTTTCCTGCCATATGTAATTCTGCAAGTTTTGTTTATTTAGGATTTGTAGAAGCCATGCTCTATTTTGAAAGGGAAAATAGTGTTATATATGTGTATGTTTATATGCTGCCTTTATTGAATATATATACATTATATATTATGTTACTTCTTACCAAAGTTAGAATGTGTTTAGGCCTGTGTAATCACGAATGTGTCAGGCACGTGGTAAACAACAACAATAAACGCCAGTACGTGTGTAATTTGTTGAAGTAGCAATTGGAAGCCTACCCACCAACGCCAAGCTGACCTGTCAGAGGACCGGGTACTTCCAGAAGAGCGGCCATTCACCTGCACAGGAGTCGACTGTTTTGGTCCCTTCATGGTTAAACAAGGACGGACCAGGGCGAAAAGATGAGGATGCTTGTTTACATGTCTAGCCACCCGAGCTATACACCTGAGAGTCCTCACCTCACTAGACAAAGACTCATTCATCAATGCCATGACTAGGTTCACATCCTGCAGAGGACCTCCCAAGCGCATCAGATCCGACAATGGAACCAACATGATTGGAGCGAACAGAGAACTTCAGGAGGCGGTGAGTAAGTGGAACAGCAGTGACAATGTAAGGAACACACCCTTGCAGAGACAAATATAATGGGAGTTCAACCCTCCGACTGCCTCTCACATGGGTGGAGTATGGGAGCGTCAGATCGGCATGGTGAAGAAGGTTCTCCAGGGGGTGATGGGCACACAGGTACTAGACGACAAGCGACTTACACCCTGTTCTGTGCCGTGGAAGAGATCGTCAATGGGAGGCCCATCACCCCGGTATCCGACGACCCGAGAGACCTAGAAGCACTCACTCCGCTTCACCTACTGTGAATGCACGCGGGAACCCTGCCCACTGGAGGCGATCAGTCCATAGCAGAAGCGTACCGACGAAAATGGAAGCATACCCAATTCATTGCGGAGCAATTCTGGAAGAGGTGGGTGAAAGAATATCTCCAGACACTCCAGCGGTGACAGAAGCACTTCCAGGCACACCGCAACTTCCGCACTGGGGATATCATCATTATATCTTGACATCCTCTCCCAAGAAGCAAATTGATGCTAGGACGGGTATTGGAAGCGGTGCCGGGTGACGACAGCCTGGTGCGTTGTGCCAAATTGAAGACGAAGGACTCAGTGTTAATACGTCTAGTGACAAAGCTCTGCCTATTGGAGGTAGTCGGAGAGTGAGACTCCTGGCAGACAATGGGTTTCAAGCAAGCTCGACAGGGGGAGTGTTACCGCCACAGTAGGATAAACTAGAGAGAGGGATAGAGAGAGAGAGAGAGAAAGGGAGACAGGAGAGAGACAGAGTGAGTGTTTACAACGAACTTTGCTGAGGTGTTAAATGTGAAACAGATGGCCCTCGCCTCGGGGCTGGCTAACTCGCTTGCTGTGGGGTTCAGAAGATAGTCTCTAGCCGTCCAGTGAGTTAACAAGTCAGGGAGCTAATAAGTCCTACATTAGACAGGAAACACGTAAGTTTTTTATGGTTTAGCACCCCACTCTACTCAAATATATCATGTGTAGTTGTTAATAGTGAAGGAACTTACGAGCGAATTAATTATCTCATTTGTACCATATGTAATTTGTACTCTGAAGGTTTTAACCGAATAAAGAACAAGCAAGTCCTACGTGCAAGGGTCTCATTATTCCACAGTCGCTCATCGGGCGGTTACAACTGCATTTATATAATTAATCTCTCCAAGCGCGTAGTTTAGGTAAATGCACACACACACACACACACACACACACACACACACACACACACACACACACGTCAATAACATTGATAGATAAATAAAATACAGTTTGTTTTGATAATTACTTCCTCCAGCACGATAATACATCATACATTGAGTGAGTTGTTGGAATCACGTTAGTAACACTGAAGTCGACGTTGTCCTGAGAACAAAGACTTATACAGTATGTTACTGAATTTATTAGACACTATCTTCATATCAACAAGTAGTTCCATTATAAGCAACTAAGAATTCTGAAACATATGCAATATTTGTGGCGATATGAACAGCGTGTGACTGAGGACTTCTTTTGTGGACTTTTTCTTTTTCACGGAGAAAAATTGATACGTGGAACTATGAAATTCATTCTTTATTCCATGTTCACGGAATATACTGATATAAAACTGATATAAAACTTCGGAGATGAAATGCCGACGAATATGAGAAAAATGACGAAAATTATCACTACAGGGATAATTACTGTGTGCTATCGTTTGATATATCCGTTTATGAACAAAGATATGTCCTTGCTGTAGCTGGACTTGCAGTGAGAGTCTTGGACAAACCACTGCTGCAGGTTGTACACTTTGGTGGTGTTGTCCTGGTGGAGGCGCTCACACATATCGCAGTACGGCTTGGCTACATTCGCCCAAGTGTGAGGAATCCAGTGAAAACGTTTCCATCTGTGGCGAAAATACAAACAGTTTCATACAAGCACATATACACATATAGTTATAGGCACATATACAAGTAAAGCCACAGATATAAGTACAGGAAAAGAGATACTGTACTCTACTGTACTCGGTTTAATCTGTTTGTAATCTAGCAAATCATTCCACCCCCAGCATATTTCACGTTGTTTTGGAGTAATATTGCAAAAAACTGTAAATATGAAGTAGACGTGGAATGAAGGTGTGAATTACATACAATATATTTAACTAAATTATAGTATAAAGAGTAGGAGACAAGGGAGAGGTGTAAACGGAGGAGGGGGGAGGGACGCGCTGCAAACCTTGACAGAGTCTCTTTAAGTGTTCACGATGGGGTCATATTTAGACCTAGGAAGGATTTAAACTAGGATTCACCTGAAGTACTCATTGTAGGCAGTGTCGTTTTTGTCCAGGTAGATGAGGTACTCGGCGAGGGCCTTAGCTGTGGGGAAGCTGAGGGCGTCGATGTAGGAGTGAGGTGGCGCCAGCATCGAGTAATTGCCTTGACCGTACACCACTGGTACCACGCTTAGCCTGTTGGAGGACCGGTCTTGTGTGACATGCAATCCCTATTACGTTATCTCTCACGTTCGCACTTCCCTACGCTATATATTTTTATCATAATTGGAATGAGCTCCCGTCCATGAGTCAACCTTTGGTATCAGTTGTGTGAGTGTGGCACACTCAAACTACCGGTGTTGTGTCAGTTTAAGTCATGTGACGCCGTCTTCACTTAAAAAAAATCTTTTGAAAACAATATTATAACAATATAGATGAAATACACGCTGTATATTTATAACTATACTTAAAAACACCATCCTCAGACAGATTAGTACTATGGGCATGAAAATAAGTCTTTTCCGGTACACAAGGTTACTAATACCACGGCATTCGACCAACTTCACTTCCCTAAGTGTAAATTTAAGTACTGAGAGGATAGCTCTACTTAATACCATGTTTTGTGTCAAAGTTTTGAAGAACAATGGTCCCCAAACTACAGCTCAATACAAACTGAGTTGATGTTCTATCTAAGTAATCCCGACTGTCTCGCTAACTTTCCACAAAAGACTCTCTTTGGGGCCTAGCTTCATAAAAGTGTTGCAGATCTTTTGAAACTGAATGTCCCAATCACCCCAGACGAACTCATTAATGCCATTCCTCCTTGGCTGGATATGTCAGTTCCTATTAATTACACTCCTGTTGGTAGTAAGCAAATGCTAAACACCGATGTGATGAGATGTCACACTAGAAACTATTAACCGACACATAGAGAGTATTAAATCAAGTGAATGTTATACTTTTACTGATGGGTCTGTGCAGACAAACACAGGTAGAACAGGCTGTGCAATTGTAATATGTAAAGAAAAAGAGAGATAGAGTCAAACAATCAAAGGCTGAACAACTGGGCCAGCACAACACAAATTGAACTAACTGGACTCTACAAAGCAACAGACTACCTTAAAGAAAATGGAGGTGGTGTAATATTCTGTGACTCTCAAAGTGCTTTGAAATTAATGAACAGCCCGTCAGGTTCTATGTCTAAAGTTGTATGTGATATTAAAAGAAATATGATAACTGCCAATGAGAACAACACTCGTATCGAATTCGAGTGGATTCCGTCCCGTGTTGGAATTAGGTATCATGACCATGCTGATAGACTGGCCAATGAGGCATGTAAGAAAGAAAATGTTGACCTTGACCTTGGCCTGTCCAATGCTGTACTTAAAAACATTCAAGTCAGAAATAATGAACTCTGATCTAGAAGAACTGAGAAATGCTGAGAGACCTGGCAGTTGTAGCATTAGTATATATGAAAAATTTTGTGACGAGAGGTACCGCTATGGCCAGCATAAGGACAGAACCAGATAACGTGATGTAGTCGTGGCCAGAATTAGGCTAGGATACAGACACATCTGGCAAGTTAGTAACGCTGTACCCATACCGGAACACTCAGCATGTAAACTTTGTGATAAACCTTTAAAGCGTACACTTGAACACTATATTATTGAATGTGTCACTGTCAAAGACTTCAGGCCACCTGGCTTATTGCATCATGAACTTTGTAATTACTACATTGAATTTGGGGTGCTTGAGAACATTCTTGCTGTTTATCCCAAATTTGCTTGCCCACACTGATTAATCTTCAATTAGAATATGACGTCCAATGTATATGAACCACTGTCTTGCATGGCAGCGAATAGTGACATCACCCACATGACTCTGACCTATATACACTATACTGCTAATGAATATGATGTATTTCTTTGTGTATGAACCTCTGTCCTGCATGGCAGTGAACAGTGAATCTGATCTATATATACTGTTAATGAATATGATGTATTTCTTTGTGTATGAACCTCTGTCCTGCGTGGCACTGAGAAGTGATACCACCCTCAGTGTCAAGACCTGACTGAATTACTCAGAATAGACAACTCAACTACAACTACAGCTGCCACAAGATTCTTACATCAAATTTTCTTCATTATTTAAACAAATATACGAAAATTTGGAAACTTCTTCTGACCTTAAATAACAATGAATAGTTTATGTGTATCATAAATTTTTTACCTTTGGTTTGTTTAATAATTATCCTGACAGTAATACAGCCGAAAACAGATCCACCAATCACAATCACCTTTACATACAGCCTACCTTTACCAAGTATTGCCATTACACCCACTCTGCCGCTATACCCACTCAGCCAATATATCCACTCAGCTCCACTTCCAACTCAGCCACTATGCCCACACGGTCCCTATACCCACTCAATCCCTATACCCACTCAAAGGTCTACACACGCAGCCGCTATACCTACTCATACCAGTATACCCACTCAGCCACTAAGCCCACTCAGCCACTATACCCAATCCCCACCTCTATCCACTCAGCTCCTTTACCCACTCGGACACATTACCCACTCAGCCACAATATCCACTCACCTGCTCTACTTACTCAGGCACTATACCTGCTCAGCCATTATACCCACGCTGCCACTATACCCACTCAGCCGCTCTACTCACTCAGCCACTATACCCACTCAGCTGCTCTACCCATTCGACCACTATATTCACTCTGCCGCTATACCCACTCATTCCCTATACCTACTCAGTCCCTATACCCACTCAAAGCTCTACACGTTCAGCCACTATACCTACTCAACCGCTATACCTACTCAACCACTATACCTACTCAACCACTATACCTACTCAACCACTATACCTACTCAACCACTATACCTACTCAACCACTATACCTACTCAACCACTATACCTACTCAACCACTATACTCACTCAGCCGCTAAGCCCACATGACCGCTATACTCACTCAGTCCCTATTCCCACTCAACACTTTACCCACTCAGCCACTTCACACAATCGGCAACTATGCCTACTAAAGCAAATATACCCACTCAGCCACTATACCCACTCGGCCACTCGATCAACTAAGCTACTGTACTTCCTCAGCCCGCACACCCACTCAGCCAGTATACCCTCTCAACAGCTCGAACCACTCACCTGCTCTACCCATTCAGCCACTATACCCACTCAGACTCTACATTCACTCTGTTGCTATACCCCACTCGACCGGTATACCCACTCGACCAGTATACCCACTCGACCCCTATACCTACTCAGCTGCATTTGCCCACTCAGAAACTATACCCTCTCGGCACATTATACTGTTACGAGTTGGGGATTTAGAATATAGTTATACGTCTACCCAGATCCCAACAGGTAACAACAATAAAAAAAACAAAGACAATCGGACTATAAAAGGTTAGACAAAGGATGTGAGTTTTCGTTGTATATAATAGAGTACCATAAATCCCTTAACAAAATATTCAGCTTATAAATTACCCTTAACCAAACTTAACCTAAACATTAACAGTATATACATATTAATACAACATAAACAATCTTGAAGCAAGTGGACGTGGGGGAGTTAATACACAATACAAGTACTTAAGTGAGGAGCTGAGATGGCTGACGAGTAAGGCTGAGTATTGTAGAAGACGGTAGGTAGTCACTGCACGTAGGTTTAGAGGATAGATGATCCTGTGGTCACTTCCCAGAGCCAAGTGTTCTCTCCTCGAATTGGAGCTGACAAAGAAGACTTTGAGGAGGTGACGCAACAACCAGGATATGGAGAAGAGAAACCCCGGAGTGGTAACTAAGACGAGTCATACTCGTGTCTCGTCCCTAGATGGCGTTGCTCGTGGTGCTGGGTAGGTAGATCAGGACAATAGATGGCGTGGTTCGTAGTGCTGGGTGGAGGGGTTCGTAACAATACCCTCTCAGCCACTATACTCTCTCGGCCACTATAGCCTCTCAGCCACTATACTCTCTGAGCCACTATACCCACATAGCCACTATACTACTACTACTACTACTTTGCTGTCACTCGGAATCAAGTATGACGACCATCCAGCTATGATACAATATGACTTATTAAGGATGTCACCTTCGTTGGTGAGTTCTGAAGTGACTCGAGAGGCCGATACGGGATGGGCAGGGCTGGCCACAGACGGTGCACGTGTGGAGGGCTACATCTGGAGCGAGAGGGGCGGTGGCAGCGTTTTTCCGGCGCTGGCGCTTGTCTGACCCGGTATGCAGTCGGGCTAACTCGAAAGTATTGACACCTTCTCGTGTGGTGCTCCTCCACGAGTTACGGTGTGGAATGATCGTCTACCAGGTGAAGGTTCGACTTAGCACTTATTCTTTTCAGGTTTGTCTTAAGATTATCCTTGTACCTTTCCGCTGTCCGCCAGCGTTGCATTTACCCTTCATTAGGTGACTATAAAGTAGCTGCTTTGGCAGTCTCCTGTCGTCCATGCAGGTAGTTGTTCATGGATATTAGTAGACTCGATGCTCCTACAGTTGGTGTCAGCGAGAATACTGGCATTTGTTCTCTTGTCTTCTCAGCGAATGCGTTGGTGAACGTTTTCAAGTGCATTGAGGTGCCTGCTGTATGTGACCCATGTCTCGCTGGCATATAGCAGGGTGGGGAGGACCACTGCTCGTTATACGTGCAAATTTGTAGATTATTTCAGCTCCCTATAGCTGAAGACACGGGTATGGAATCTGCCAAAAGCTTGATATATACATCTGATCCGATGTTGAATTTCTTTTTCGATGTCCGCAGTGGTGCACAGGTGGATCCAAGATACTGAAAGTGGGTAATATTAGAGAGGGCAGTACCGTTGTGCTGGATGGATGGTGGATGAGTGGTTGAACCAGCCGGGCTGAAAGTAATTCTGAGTCTTACCTGCATTCACCTCAAGGATAAAGTGTGCATGGGCATCTGCGGAGATATTCTGTATCTCCTGTAGGTCATGTACAGTGTGAGTGGCGAGGGTGAGGTCGTCTGCATACGGAAGCTCAGTGATGGAAGCGGCCGGTACCTTTGTTCCTGCCTGGAGTCGTTTTATGTTGAAAAGTTCCTTCATCCGGTACTGGATGCCCACCCTGCCAACTAAATTGGCACTGCGCCGAGTAAGGAAGGCAGCCAAGAAAATAGAGAAGACAGTTGTTGCTAGTACACATCCTTATATTACCCCCGTTTGGATGGGGAAGAACTCAGACTGGGTGCAATTGTGCAGGACACTGCCGGTAATGCCATCGTGAAGATGCCTCACAATGACAATGAATTTTGGTGCACAGGCAAAGCGACAGAAGGCTCGCCAGAGATCTTCCCTGTTGACCGAGAAGAAGGCTTTAGTAAGGTCAATAAAGGCCATGTACAAGTCACGACGCTGTTCTCCTGCACTTTTTCTGTATCTGGAGGGCAGCAAAGATCATGTCAGTGGTGCCACGTGATGGTCTAAAGCCACATTGAGATTCTGGGAGGAAGTTTTCCGCCTCAGGAAGAAGTCTATTTAGGAGGACTCGAGCGATAATCTTGTTAGCTTCAGACAGCAGTGAGATCCCGGGGTAGTTGTCACAGTCCGATCAGTCTCCCTTCTTCTTATAAATATAGTCGATCTTGGGGGATTTCCTCCTTCTCCCATATATTCTCAAGGAGAGAGTGGAGACGGCTGGTAAGCAGAGGTCCTCCTCCTTTCTACACCTCGGCTGCGATTCCATCAGGCTCTGTGGCTTTGTTATTTGTCATCTGCTTGATGGTAGTAGCTACCTCATCCTGGGAAAGAGGATATTTGAGGTGGGTCAGCTCTGGGTGCTGAGAAACTGCTGGGAAGTCAGGCGATCCACATCAGTGTTTCGGTTGAGCAAGGAATAGTAGTGCTCTTTCCAGTGCTGATGGATGCCTTCTTCGTTTTTACTTACGAAGTTATCATCGGGTGAGCAGAGGGGGGAGCCACACCATTAGTAGTTGGGCCATATATTGTTTAAGCGGAATAGAAAAATACACGCACTTTGAGTTGATCCTCATTTTTTTACATTTCACACACTATATTTTTCCACCGATCAGTCATTAGTTTGAAAAGTTGGCGCTGGACTGCTGCTCTCTTCTCGGGGAAGGTATCAGATTTGGTCTGAGACTTAGGGTTGTTCTGCCAGTCAGTGATAGCAGCAAGTTTCCTATTGACGAGTTTTTCGATTTTCGGGTAGTTTTCATCATGCCAATCCTGGCATTTTCTTTTGACCGGGCCGAGGGTCTCGTTGCAGGAATTTTTGATGACAGCCATGATGGGACCCCATTCAGCACTCGGATTTAGGTTGTTTGTTGTTGGGTTATTTATAAGCCCATTGTTGAGCTGCTCTCTGAAAGCATGTGCTACTTGCTCGATCCTCCAATTTCGTAGTATTAAAGTCTCTTCTGGAGGCTTGTTTCCTTCGCGCATTTTGGGAGAAGTGAAGGGCGAGTTTTGCTCTGACGAGCCCCTGATCAGTGTCACAGTGGTCTGAGCCATGCATGGTTCGAGTGATGAGAACATTTCGGCGATCTCTTTCTCTGACAATGATGTAGTCAATGAGATGCCAGTGTTTGGATCATCGGTGTTGCCAAGAACCCTTGAACTTGTTGGCCTGCCTAAACAAGGTGTTGGTGACAGCACACTTGCTGAGGAGGAGTAGACAGTTGGAATTACACTTGCCTACTCCGTTTCTACCTACGGTTCCTTGCCATATGTCAGAATCTCTGGCATTCAAGTCACCTAGGAGCACAACCTTATCTTCTCTCAGGATAGAGGTTAACATTCTGCCAAGGTCGGCATAAAAGGCCTCCTTGATGTTATCCCAACGGGCATTTCAGTTAGCCTATGCAGGATGGATGGGCGAATGGCAAAGCCAACTCCGTAAATGCTGTTTCTCTCCGCAGTACTCTTACGCTTCCAGAAGAAGGTATAGCAGAACCCCGATCTATGAGTCTACCCTCGTCTGGGAGCCGGAACTTAATAATGGTTGTTATGTTGATGTTATACCTAGCCAGCTTTTTTGCCACAAGGGCGGTTCTTCTTTCAGGACGCTCTTTTGTGCCAGTATCCAAAAGGGGCCTCACATTCCATTCAGCGACCATAAGAGGTTGTATAGTTTGTTTTTGCTTTGATTTGTGATTATGATTATGTTTTCAACCACATTAGAATGACCTTACTGGGTGCGGTTTCCCAGACTAGGTTGGTTTTCTGGGCAGGTTATGTTTAGAGCTCCTTTTCTAGCCCCCTCCCCATGTGGGGTGAGCAGCTTGGCTGCTGGAAAGGGCTGCTCTGTCGCACAGACAGGACCAGATTTCACTGTTGCCTAGATCCCAGTGCATAAACGAGCAACTTATCCATGCCGCCCATGCGCAGAGTTGTGATTAGATACTCCTGGCAGTCATCTCTGCCTGTACCCGTTGCCATTCGACTATCGCCATAGGACTTTTTGGGGATAGGGGTTTTGATGATGATGAGAGTTATGATGATCTGGATGATGGCTGCGCGTGAGTTCATTTATGATGTGAAGCAGGAGTGCAAGCTGCAACCCCACATCCTGGCTCTTCCTTTTCCTGATCCAGTGGTACAAGCAGTTTCAACGACTGGGGAGAGGGAGAGATGTAATGGACTGCCGAAAGCACAGTTTGTTGGGTTTCGCCTTAGTAGCCTGTCCCTCTTGCATTGCCTTCATCCGCCGGTGAAGTCGTTGGCTTCCCATGCTGGTCACCTCTTCCACTGAAACCGCCGTTAGGGTCTTACTGGAGCTCTGTAAGCATGTCTGCCTGATGCGGGGCTCTACCGCAGATTTTTCGTTCGGGGTTTACTCTCATAGCCTTATACCCACCAAGGTTAATCCGCAAGGCAGCGGGGCTGCGATTGCTATGCGCCAGGACGTGTCCGCATGCCAGTGGGCCAATGTGCTATCCCTCTGAGGCCCACTGCTGCTCCGACATTCTCTGCTGGTCTAACCTGGGCCCACGAGGTACCCAGTTACCGTGTGTTGCCACGAGGAGGCACAGCAGAAGTCTTGATGGTAAAGAGGCTGTGCACTGGCAGGGGAAGCGTCATGTGGGTTATGAGCGTCATGAGCCACTATACCCTCTCAGTCACTATACCTACTCAGACAATATACCCACTCAGCCACTTTACCCGCTAAGCCACTGTACCCACTCTGCCACAGTACCCACTCAGCCACTATACCCACTTAGCTACTCTACCCACTCAGCCACTCTACCCACTCAGTCGCTATTTGCACTCAGCCAATATACCGACTCAGCTGCTACATCCATGCATCCACTTCAATCACTCAGGTGCTCTATCCACTTTCTCATTATACCCACTCAGTCGCTATACCCACTCAATCGTTACACCCAATCAGCCACTTTATTCACTCCCCCGCTATACCCGCTCAGCCACTATAACCACTCGGCTGCTAATCCCACTTAGCCGCTATACCAACCCATTCACTATACCCAATAAGCCACTATGCTCACTCAGCTGTTATGCCCACTCAGCCACTCAACTCACTCAGCCACAACACCCACTCAGCCGCTCTAACCGTTCGGTCGCTCTACCTACTCAACCACTATACCCACTCAGTTGCTATACCTACTCAACTGGTATACCCACTCAGCCACTATAACCACTCAGCCACTATAACCACTCAGTCAATGTATCCATTCATTTGCTATATCCACTCAACCTCTATACCCACTCAGCCACTATAACCAATCCGGCTGCTATACCCATTATTTCACTATACACACAGCCACTATACTCACTCAGTTGATAACCCACTCAGCCACTATAACCACTAGTGTATATATATATATATATATATATATATATATATATATATATATATATATATATATATATATATATATATATATATATATATATAAAATAATATATAAATAAAATAAATAAATATTAAAGTTATAACCGTGGTAACATTATGAGATGTTCTTATTACCACCATGCTATTGCACTATTCCAGATGATACTAAATGTTACATAATACTTCCTTGAGATAAATGTATAGTATATATTAGGTGCCTAAAAGAGAGCTCAGGTTCTCAACTGGCTCAGCCATGTTAATATTGTTATTATTATCCACTCTGTATCTGTATTTTTCTGGCTACATAAACTGTTTCAATTCAATTCTGCTATCCCACTCAGCCGCCCTACCCTCTCAGCCACTATACCCATTTAGCAGCTACTGTATATCCACTCGGCCGCTACCCCCACTTAACACACCCTTCGCCTGTCTACCCTACACACTCTGTTATAGCTCAACTTCCATTTTTTCTGTTTGTAAACAATTGTATTTTACTATGAGCCAGTTGGACCGTGGCTGTAGTAATAATATTATTCTGGTCTACACAATATTCATCACAGTCTGCCTCGCCAATAATGATATGGACTGTGAAGTGCAATGCTGGAGAAGTAACCACTCTGCCTTGTTTACAGACTTAATGAACATTAACTACTATCTTGTTAATTTACTGTCTCATTAACATATTACTCCTCACACCTCACTTCCCTGATATGCTGTACACCCATTTGTATTATTTTATATATATTGAATATATGAGTCAATAAAGCCCAACGATGTATGTTTCTTCAAAATATAGTGAAAAGAAATGTATAATGGAAGTTAGATTTTATATAGAAAATATAAAGATTCCATAAAGGTTATCAATTTTCAAGGTTATTTTTGTCTGATTATGTCATGTAATTACTAAGTGTCTTGTGAGTAAATTCTATACCAAATGATGTTCTAAAACAAATCAATAAGTATTAGATAATTTGGGAATTTACCTTAAGATATTGAACAACTTCTCTGTGGCATAATCTTGACAAAGAGAATTTTCAAAGGAGAAGTAGAATTTGTAGTTCTTCTCAAGCATAGAGTAACATCCACTGGAGTTCTTCCTCACACAACTCAACGACCCACATTGGCCGTACTGGTCAATCTTGATCCATTTCCTTAACAGTTTTACCAGCCTGAAAAACATAGTTGTGTTGTTTCTCTAAAATACTGTATAGGTCCTGATTGATGATAATCATATTTTTAAGTAAGGAAAATTATACAGGTTATTTTTTTACATTTGTGGTCTTGAGTATTCAGATTTACAAAGTGAGTCCTTAGGGTTGGATAAAAGGATTTGCACATACAGTTGCCTGCATTTATACCTGGTACAGTGGCTGGTTCGTTTTGTGGGATGTAGCAATTATGTGGATTGCTTATCTAGCACCATTAATCTGGTCACTATTACGAGGTTCCTTAGGGCCAACCTGGGCCATTTCTGGACTTTTAATATGATGTAAACAAACACATCTCACAAAATGTGTCTGCCACTGTACCAGGTATAAATGCAGGTGACTGTATCTAAATGAGGATTAAGTCAAGATAAAGGATTTCATAATTACATTAAGAGAATTGCAAGGTCACAAAGAGAGAGGAGAATCAGGGAGAAATGTATTTGATTTTCAATCATTTATGAATTCTAAGCTTACAGTCTTAAGTATTGCAATTCTAAAAATATCTTAATTATGGAACTTTCATTAATGAAATTATTTTTTACAGCCTTGATACAGTAGTCTCTGTCTGTATTGGTTGGTACTTCTGGAATCATATTATTCAAAATTAATACTTGCGAATACAAGTGATCGTCATGTGTATTCAAAGGATAATGTGTGTGTTAAAATATTAGAATAAAACAACAATATATAGAATAGGATATTTCAATGAGTATAGGTATTTCCTCCATTTTGCAGCCCAATCTTGCGGTCCAGATCTCACCCGTTGACCAGCCAATGAAGCTATTAGCGTCTTACCAAAATACATAGATTTTTCGTTGAAATTATTTTTAATTTACCACTGCCCACGTGCGTAACCCAAATAGTGTCATCAGACGGCGAAAGCGTTAATGTATTGTTTCGTGTGTTAGCTTGTGGGTGGGGCAAATGAGTGCAGCTTCGAGATGGGTCGAAAATGTTTACTGGCTTAAGGAATAATATATAATGTATTGTAAGGCTTCAATGTTCCTGAACAGTTAGCTTTATATAGAGACATATTTCACATAAAATAAAACACAAAATACGAAGTCATGGCTCACTCTTCCCTGCCGCCGACTGTCCTACAGTTGGACACAAACCAGGCTGCTAGCTTGGTCTTGTTGGCTGCGTAGTTCCGCTCCTCTTCTGGCTCCTGAAGGGGCTGCCGACGTCGGTAGACACGCCCGTACCTGACAAAGTGTTGACCAGATAGAAAAATAGAATGGAAAAACAAAGTTAGGATAATGTTTTATCACGATAGCATTTTGATATTGTAACGTTAAACCACTACGTGCAAAAAATACCACTGTCTAAAGTTCTTTTTCACCTCAGAATTTACAATGTATAAGAAACTTGTGCCACTTGTTATATATTGACAGAAGTTATAGTGGGGAGAACTTCACACTCTTGGGTTTGGGTAGGAGCTCTCTCCCACACGTCTTTGGGTCTGGCCTTACTCACCTCACCGCACTTGACTGCCCCACAAGAGAGATAATTTTACGTAATGAGTTACAGCAAGTTTGCTATTTTAAATAAAAAGGTGGGATTTTTTGGATTAGCACTGTAAATAAATTTTATAAAAACACTTTTATATAAGTAATCACGTTAAAATAATTATTTCTATATGTAAGAATAGAACACAAAATTTTTGTTTATGCTTAATGAAAAGGTTTATACATCACTTTATACCTTCGTTATTTCATGTGATTGCAATATGAACCTTATTCCGTTATAAAGCATACACATTTAGGAAAAAAATAGTTATCGCAAAAACGTTGTAAAAAAATAATATTTACCTTGGGAGAGGCATCAGGTGGCACTATACTATCACCACATGGTGCAATTTCCTTGCACTTTTTACGTTTCCTCACCCCTCAAACCTGGCCAGCAACACGAGGCATGGTTCAAAACTCTCACAACACTCTTATGAATAAATGAATAATAAATGAAATCATTGTTGGGAAATGTAAGTCAACATTATATCCTGTGTCCTTTAAACACAAAAGGGAGGCTGGTTTAGGAGGGAGATAGGAAGGAACTGGTTCACAAATAGGGTGGTGGATGAGTGGAACAAGCTTAACAAGTTTGTAGTAAGTGCTGGAACGTTGGAGAGTTTTAAAAGGAGGCTAGATAGATTCATTGATGATAGAGAGTGGTAGTAACTCTCGACAGGAGCTGCCATGCACAGGCCAACCGGCCTATTGCAGACTCCTTATTTTCTTATGTTCTTATGTTCTTATGGTGACCTTGGAGTGTAGTGTACATTGTTGGCAGATCGCACTGACGGTGTCTAATGTGTATCTTGCGTGTCTAGCATTCATATGAAAAATTGTTTTTTTTTTACTTCATACGCAAATTTGCATATGAAAACCCTAAAGCGATAATTTAGATCATATGCTATTTTATGTATGAAAACCCCAAAAGTGTTAATTACTTGAACCTCACAACAGATGAATGCAAAGAACTCCAATTCTCAGAATAAACCTCCAACAAAATAATTTATCTTCATCATTCTCTCACAAAAACTTCCATTTTAATCTAATGGAGGAATTTATTAGAATCTTGCGTCAACGGTCCACCACTGCCACAACAAATGGTCATGTGGTATAATTATTATTTTTAGGTACAAAAGCTCTCGTCAAGACAGGGCCAACAATAAACAGGGTTCCACAAGTCCCTGAGAACCAGATGAACATACTGGTTTGGGAAATCGGAGTCGAGTCTGTACGTAAATGTCCAATTGAAGATGTTATTGAAGTGGCCAATATTGCCGTAGAGGTAAGATGCTGACTCCATCATCCAGAAGACGTAGCGGGTATGGGGAGACCTGAAGACCAACACACAACATATGAGTTATTACAATAAATTTTGGATTGTGATGACTTGATTAAGTACCCGTGTCTTTGGTTACACCATAACAAGAAACCGGATACCTATCTATAGTCAATACTTGAAGAGAAGATTCGACAAGCACAGGCCACTCAAAATTATTCTTAATGTTACGAAAGGAAATCCTCACAAAGCAGTTTTAAAAGGCATACTTTGCAGGACGAAATCGGACAGATTTGCAACAGCCAATCAGCTGTAACTCTTAAAGATGGGGCGGGGTATATCTTCTCAGCTGGGAAAAAAAACGCACTGTAATCGGTGTTCCCTTCCACTGGCACCTTATGAACAGGATATTGATATGTTCGAAAACCTCACTACAGTGCGTTTTTTCTCAGCTGAGAAGAGATGCCCCGCTCCCTTTTCAAGAGATACAGCTGATTGATTGGCTGTTGCAAATCTGTTCGATTTCGTTCTGAAGTAATGATGTATTTCTAAATGAGTTTATTCATAATCGTTGGGATGACAGTTTCTGACGAGAAAGATATTCAGCTAAATTATATAAAGATACATACATCCATTATTTCAAACATGAGCACGTAGGAATTTTATCAGAAATCTTATACATGAATTATCTGTTAAACTCTGGTAACAAATTTACGCTTTCGTAGGACGCATTTAATATATACTTACTGTATACCAACAATAAGGCATACTAAGACAAATTACGTATCAATATTACTACCTTATGCAAAAACTGATATTTTAAAAGATCAGAATCACATTGAAATATTACACGGCCGTCAGCAGAGGCGGGAAATATGACTGCGAACAACTTCATATTTCCCGCCTCTGCTGACAGCTAGAGCGGCCTAACTCCTCAGTCTGTTACACTCATCCACCAACTTTGAAGGGGCCGTGTAATATTTCAGTGTGCTTCTGATCTTTTAAAATGTTAGTTTTTGCATACTATAGTATTACTGATACGTAATTTATCTTAGTATGCCTTTTTACTTTGTAGTTTCAGTTGGAGTTACTTGTAGTCTTCATTTGCAGTTATCTCAGAGAACTTAATGTTTGCACAAACACTATTTTTTTTTCATTTTACAAAATCTATGCACTCTATGTTGTTGATAATAGGCAACTGTCCTTTTACGAGACAATATAGGAGGTAATTTCCAAAGCTCCTATAACACATCTGTCGAAGGTGGAGGATATGGAAACATCATCTAGCACGTGAGAAGGAATGATAAGCTATGCAAAGTTGGCGTTTATCTAGTTAATTCAGGTAGTGAAAATCATACAATAAATATATGTAGATAGGCCACAATTATATACAGTAAGTACTACTGTCTACAGGTATCTGTTGACAGGGACTATTACACCTAACATAAACCAAGCAAATTAACCCAACATAAACCAAAAACCTAAACTATCATAGAACCAAGTAACTTAACCTAACATAAACCAAACAACCTAACCTAATATAAACCAAGCAACCTAACCTATCCTAAAAAACCAAGCAACCTAACTTAACATAAACCTAGCAACCTAACCTAACCTAACATAAACCAAATAACCTAACCTAACATATACCAAACAACCTAATCTAACCTTAACCTAACCTAACATAAACCAAATAACCTAACCTAACATATACCAAACAACCTAATCTAACCTTACCAAACAACCTAATCTAACCTAACAAAACCTAAACCTAACCTGACTTAAACCAAGCAACCTAATCGAACCTAATTTAACATGTAATTTACTTGGCACACATTATTTCATCTTGATGGATGTTTGACTTAATGTTGTCAAGTGTATAAAATTATTTCGCTCATTTACGTTGACTGAATCTATATAAAGGAAATATAAGTGCTAAGGCTGAATATTGGGTACTACTGAAGTAATAACTATTTGGTATCAGTTATCCTTCAACCTGTTCCGATCTCAAATTGTTTATTTTCTTCAGTAAACTAAAACCATTTACCATATTTTTTTCGCCATTGACTAGCGTAAGATGTTTCATAAAATTTAATTGTTGATGTACTAATTATTAACCTTGGTATACGCTTAAAAACCTTCAGTTTTGAATCGCAGACTCACAACATTAAAACATCAATGATAAACGTATCTTTCAAGTACTCTTTCTTTACCTGACAGTAGGAAGCGATTTGTCATTTGATCTAAAGTGCCACACAAGAGCGTCAATCTCCTCCAGCGGAAATCGGGATCGGTCGCCTGTGGTGAAGCAAGTATTGACCCGGCAGCCAGCACGCAAGAAGGGCTCACGACCGAACCCGAACCCAAAGTGCTTGTTACTGTAACCCTGAGAATATAAGAAAATATCCATGGTATGTTTCTGATGTACTTATCAATATTTTCGCTTTTCAACAGTTTTGTAGCAAGAGTGCTTATATTTGTCTTTAATAAGCAAGAATTCTAATGAAATTCGAAACTTAATACAAGTAAATATCAGTGATGATGGGAGTCTGAAGCTACTGAATTTCCATAATTCCTTCGTGACATCATAGTTGTACTCGTAACTAATGTAGGGAAAATAGTGACAGAATACATTAAAATAAAATATGTTCTGTTATGAGGTGATATTTACACTAGGTTAGCTCTTGTCATAGACTAGCTAGAATTAAGATTTTTTCTTTTCATGTATATTCGTTAGCAATCTCTTAGTTCTATTTCTGAAAAATTTTACGTTGTTATGCACTGAAAAATCTTAGTTGTTGAGGCTCTGTAATAATGTGTAACATCAATTTCTCTTTGTGTTTAGAAATGTACTGTATCTTAAACAAAGAAAACAAGCAGCAGGCCGTGTAGGGGTAACTCACATCATTCCAAAAGAGTATTTTCTTCAACTGAGGATTATTATTAGTGTTGAGTGCATCGTTGGTCTCGGGCGTCTCTTTAAACAGATCTACAGGTGATTGTTTTATTTGCTTTAAATTCAGTTCCTCGTATGGTAGATGTGAATCCCCAGGCTGTAGTGGCAGATGAACACTGTTGATGTCTTTAGAGGTGATTGTCTCTGAGCTTGATGGTTGGCGTGCAGTAACCATGCCCTGAGAAGTCCCTGACTTTGGTGGTAGGTGTGTCATCAAGGTTTCCTTGGCCTCTGGGTTTCCCTCACTTTGTGTTCCTCTTTTTATGACAGGATCTTGTGTCTTCTTATTTCTGTAAAGAGCCAATTCAGTATTCTTGAGACAGGTGTGTCAGTATACAGAACTACAGTAATCTTACGGACAGATCTCGTCAGGTTGTCTCTCGTGAATGGCGTGAAATTGCCCTAGTCATGTTGTCTCCTTTTCGAGTATAGATTAGGTCAGGTTTCTCGAGAATCATGCAATTCTCAACCATCGCGATAGATACCGTAAGAGATTTGTTACCGAGATTAACCTCGGCCTGTTGATAGAATTTGATATTGTTTGATTATTCCAGTGTTGTACTATCATAATGTGTGAAGTGTAGTTCTTAAATGAAGGCGTAGCTCAGTGAAGTATGAATGATTTATTTGTTAAGCAAGGAGACAATAAATCGCATATACTGTATAGCGGTAAGTGAGTGTGACGAGATATACCTGATGGTACATTTAGCTAACATACCTAGCAATGAGGATCTTTCAATTAGAAACACAACAAAATCGTGCTCTAGATGTTTACTATTAAGATATATTGTATTAATACGAAAATCTTTTGTTTCTGTTGTTGTTGTTGTTGGTGGTGGTGGTGGAATGATGGAGGTAAAGGAACTTGACACTGCAAGTTTTATGAGATATACGAGAAATATTGCAAGATGTGTTAACCACCCGCACAAGGGGACATCGGGATGTTCACCTACACTAAAAAGTTTTTGGGATGTTCAGTATTAGGATTTAGTAAACTAAGAATAAGAAATATGAACTTACAATTAACAAGTTCATGAAGTAAAGAGGAAATTTTACCAGTTTGATATTTATTAGGTGAAACCGTCATACAAATATACAATTGTTTCAGCATGATAGACAATGCAGATATGCAGTTCAGTGTGTATATAGACGGTGTGTAAGCTTTCTGTAATTTAATAACATGTGTATTTACTTATACATGAATTGTTATTATGCTTACTGATTGTACTTTAATCATATTAATGTGTTCTGTACTGGTGCCACAGTCCTGTTCCAGAACTTTCTCTTAAACATGCCCCACTACATCATGACGCCCTTTAGTCAGCATTCTTGCGCCCCGCCACGTCAGTTCATAGCTGGGCTTTGGTTTTATAGTTGGTGATTAATATTTCTCTCACGACCATTTTCCTTTGTGTGTGTTACAGTGACTGTTAACTTTAATATATACAGGTAGTCTATTTTACTAACTATGTGTTTCCCTAGACTTCATCAGTGTCTTGCAGTTATTATTAAGGGTCTTACGGGTAACATAATGACATTTATGTTGCAGGCTCTGCTTGTTTCCTCTCGCTTTAAGCTACTGCCACTGGCTATCCCCATTGGTGAACAGGGAAGCAACCTTGTGTTAGTCTTCCACTGCCAGTACACAGTCTTTTCATCTTCAAGAGTCGTACTGTTCCTCCTCGTGGCAACACACGGTAATTGGGTGCCACGTGACCCCAGGCTAGACCCAGCAGGGGATCTTGGAGAAGCAGTGGACCCCAGAGGGACGGCTCATAGACCCACTAGCATGTGGACACGCCCTGGCGCCTACCAACCACTGCCCCACTGCATTGCGAATTAACCTTGGTAATAAAAGGCTACGGGAATAAACCCCGAACGAAAAATCTGAGGTGGAGCCCCACATCAGGCAGACATGCTTACAGAGCTCCAGTAAGACCCCAACAGTGGAATAGATGAAAGAGGTGACCAACACGGGAACCCAGCGACTACATTGGCGGAAGAAGGCATTGCCTCACTACATAAATCAACTCATGCGCAGCCTTCATCCAGCTCATCATACTTCTCCTCATCATCAAAACCCCTATCCCTATTAAAAGTCCTATGATGACAAAAGAGTGGCGACGGGGACAGGCAGAAATGATAACCAGGAGTCTCTGGTCACAACTCTGCACTTGGGCGGCGTAGATAAGATAGTCGTTTATGACTGGGATCTTAGTGACAGCGCACACCGGTCATGTCTGTGCGACTAAGCAGCCCTTACCAGGAGCCACTCTCCTCACCCCACATGGGGAGGGGGCTAGAAAAGGTGCCCTAAACATAATCTGCCTAAAGAACCAACCTGACTGGTAACTGCACCCAGTTAGGTCATCCTTATGCGGTCGAAAACATATTCACAATAACAGATCAAAGCAAAAACAAACTAAACAACCTCTTATGGTCGTCTCATGGAATGTCAGGACCCTTCTAGATATTGGTACAAATGAGTGCCCTGTAAGAGGAACTACCCCTTGTGGCCAAAGAACTGTCTTAGTATAACATCGATATAGACGCCATTAGTGAGTCCCAGCTTCCAGATGAGGGTCGTCTCACAGAACAGGGGTCCGGCTATACCTTCATCTGGAAGGGTAAGCCTGCTGCGGAAAGAACCTGCATTTACGGAGTTCGCTTTCTTCATTCACCAATCCATCCTTCATAGGCTAACCGAAATGCCAGTTGGGATTAACGAGTGCTTCATGACGCTCAGAATCCCACTGAATCACTCAAGTCATGCCTTCTTCATCAGCGCATACGCCCCAACACTGGATGCAGAGGATGACATCAAGGAGGCCTTTTATGCCGACCTTGACAGAGTGCTAACCTCTATACCCAGAGAAGATAAGGTTGTTCTCCTTGGTGATTTCAATATCAGGGTTGGCAGAGATGCTAACATATGGCAAGGATCTATAAGAAGAGACGGAGTAGGCAAGTGTAATTCCAACGGCCTATTCCTCCTTAGCAAGTGTGCTGCACACAACCTCACTACCACCAATACCTTGTTTACGCTGGCTGACAAGTTCAAGGGTTCTTGACAACACCCACGATCCAAACACTGGAATCTCATTGACTACATCATTGTCAGAGAAAGAGATGTCCTCATCACCCGAGCCACATGTGGCTTACGCCACTGTGACACAAATATTCGGCTCGTCAGAGCCAAACTCTCCTCTTACGTCGTCCCAAAACGGCGAAGGAAACAAGCGTCTAGATGAGACTTTAACACTATAGGAGCCTGGAGGATCGAGCGGTAGCACATGCTTTTAGAGAGCACCTCAATGGTGGGCTTGTAAACAACCTAAGAACAAATACCCAAAATCCGAGTGCCGAATGGGGTCCCATCAAAGCTGTCATCAAAAAATCCTGCAACGAGACCCCCGGCCCGGTCACCAGGATTGGCTTGCTGAAAACTACCCGAAAATCGAAGTACTCATCAATAGTATACGTGCTGCTATCACTGACTGGTAGAACAACTCTAAGTCTCGGACCAGAGCTGAAACCATCACGAGAAGAAAGCAGTGGTCTAGCGGAAACTAATAACCGATTGGTGGAAAAATATAGCATGTGATAATGCAAAAATTTGCGGATCAACACAAAATGCGTGAATTTTTAAATTATGCTAAAACAATATATGGCCCAACTACTCATAGCGTGGCCGCCCTCTGCTCATCCAACGGTAACTCCCTAATAAAAAACGAAGAATCCGTTAGTGCTCAAGAGAGCACTACTATTCGTTGCTCAACCGAAACACCGATGTAGATCTCCTGACTACTCAGGATGTTCCTCAGCACTCCATTCCGGGATGAGGTAGCTACTACCATCAAGCAGACGAAAAATAACAAATTCACAGGGACTCTGCCTACCAGCCGTCTTCACTCTCTCCTGGAGAATATATGGGAGAAGGAGGAAGTCCCCCAAGGGAGACGGGTCTAACCGTGGCAACTACCGTGGGATCATGCTATTGTCTGTAGCTGGCAAGATTATCCATCGAGTCCTCCTAAATAAACTTCTTCCTGAGGCGGAAAACTTCCTCCCAGAATCTCAATGTGGCTTTAGACCATCACGTGGCACCACTAATACGATCTTTGCTGCCCACCATATACAGAAAAAGTGCAGAGAACAGCGTTGTGACTTGTACTTAGCGTTCATTAACTTTACTAAGGCCTTCGGCTCGGACAGCAGGGAAGCTCTCTTGCTACCCACCAATATTCATTGCCAATGTAAGACAACTTCACAATGGCATGAATGGCAGAGTCCTGCACAATGGCACCCAGAATGAGTTCTTCCCTATCCAAACGGGGTTAAGCAGGGATGTGCAGTAACACCAACTCTCTTTTCCATTTTCTTGGCTGCCTTCCTTACTCGTGCCAGTGCCAATTTTGCTGACGGGGTCGAAATCCAGTACCAGATGAAGGGACTTTTAAGCATAAGGTGCTCTACACCAAGTCGCTGGCAAATTATCGGATTGCTCACGGCTGGCTATAGTGTGTCAGAAATTACAAGGGAGGTTAAGGTCACTGAGAGACTTTGGTTAGTCCCGCTGGGAGGAATGAGGGAGCTTAGAAACCGGCCACGGTGATAATTTTGTGTGATTTGATGACTAATTTCAGTTTGTAATGGAATCAATACATATTTGAAGTCTTAATTCATATAAATTATATAATTTTAAGCCTGGGAGACCACGAAGGACAGGCGAGGAGGACATTGGATGGGCTATAGTGATTCTGTAAGACCTGTGTTGGCGAATATTAAAAATAAATGTGATTTCCTCCTTCATATTCAATATTTCTCCTCATATCATGTTATTATAAATATCTCATTACCGTTGTTTAAAACCTAAACTACAACCTGATAAAATGATAATAAGAAAATGGATGACACAGTACAGTGTAATAATAATAAAATAAAGGTCCTCATCTATTATTCTTTCAAACGTGAAAAACCTATGATAATATAGTGAAAAGAAAACAAACATCCATCCTTCCTTTCCTTCTTTCATGAATTTCCCTGCTTCCTTCAATCTCCTACCTCTCCCATGAGCAATTTGCATCACATATCACCCTCTCACCCCCACCCCCCCAACAAACAGCTCTCCCCCAAGCCGACTAGTCCCCCTCTCCACCCTACGTGACTTGCCGTGTAGAAAGGATTTAACCAGGGGCAGAGGTTAGGTGGTGGAGTGGATGATTACTTTTGACCGCCACTGTACAGTGTACTGATCACATTAATACATTTTAGTTACCTTCAGATGAGATGACGCATATTATTCTCAATCGTCCATAAAACAGTTTATTTTCGTGTGTTATCCGTACAAAAGTTTTCTCCAATATTCTTATCAGAGAAAACAACAAAAGATGGCGCCTTTTGTTTAGATTAGTCTTAAGATATGAATTATTCATAAACCTGTATATTAAGATAACTGAGACATTGATGATCATTTAAGTTATTTGTTGTCTGTAACTAATGTGTAAAGTGAGCATATCTGAGCCCCAATGAATCAGGTCTATGTATTTCGTGTTCATAACCCAATATCCAGTCTTTGAGTTGAAGTTGAAGTACATTATTTTGTGTTGCCTATGACTATAAGAGAATGTTATGAATACATTGAATATTCCGAAAAGTTGCAGTTGACAAATGCCTCGACCTGCACTATTGCCACAGCGACTTCCCAGTGCGTGGGTGAAGTATGGAAAGTCTAAAAGAAGAAAAGGAAAGAGAGAAAAAGGTCAAACTAACAAATGCTACTAACGCCTGGGAAGATATTGGAAGCATAATGTGTTGAGCAATGGGAGACGCTGCTGCCAGTATGCCAGATCAGGTTGCTGATGTACCTTTCTGCCTCATTTACACACATTCACAGGGTTTCAATTGTTTTTCTTACTTTGACAACACAACATACATACAGTATATCGTTTCTCACAATTGATTTATATATTTTATTTATGGTCCCTTATTATTAGTAGAATAGTAGTATTAGTAATAGTAGTATTATTATATTTTGATTTAATATTTTCAGTATTTGTATTAATTATTATTATTATTATTATTATTATTATTATTATTATTTCGCCCCGAGACCCTGATGTGGGTCATTGACCTGTGGCCTGGTGGGGTAATCCCATAAAAAAAAAAATATATATATATATATATATATATATATATATATATATATATATATATATATATATATATATATATATATATATATATATATATATATATATATATATATATATATATATATATATATATATATATATATATATATATATATATATATATATATATATATATATATGCTGATAACCACAAGGAAAGAAGAAAACACGAAGTTCCCAAGCGCTTTCGTGTAATTCACATCTTCAGGGGTGAGTACAGACTAGAGAGAGTAATACAAATCAAGGTGTATATATACAGAGGAGGGTGAGACCAGGTCCACAATGGTCAGGTATTAGGTAATGACCCTACTAATCTTTAAATAGCACACAACGGTTGGTGGTCAGGTCAGATGGTCAAGTGACCCGGCCTTCTCACCTGATCACAAATCTTCTTAATTACAAAATTGTCCAGCTTGTACATGCCGTTACTCAAATTCATGTTGAATGCTTCGGTATGTTTAATAAGACTAGATTCTATGATGTTCCTACTATCAATTGAATTACATGGTAATATTGAGGAGGCATTATCCCAGTCAATGCAATGCTTGTTATCCCTCAAATGAACAAACAGACATTGGGTAGAAGAGAGCATTGTGGACACCCTGAATAAAACATTGGGTAGAAGAGAGCATTGTGGACACCCTGAATAAAACATTGGGTAGAAGAGAACATTGTGTACACCCTGAATAAAACTTTGGATAGAAGAGAACATTGTGGACACCCTGAATAAGACATTGGGTAGAAGAGAGTATTGTGTACACCCTGAATAAAACATTGGGCAGAAGAGAACATTGTGGACACCCTGAATAAAACATTGGGTAGAAGAGAACTTTGTGGACACCCTGAATAAGACATTAGGTGGAAGAGAACATTGTGTACACCCTGAATAAAACATTGGGTGGAGGAGAACATTGTGTACACCCTGAATAAGACACTGGGTGGAAGAAAACATTGTGTACACCCTGTACTTACCAAAATGTATTGTTATCGCTGCTAGCACTTACCGCGTCTCTTCGCTGATCCCGAATAACGTTCCTTCATGTCTGAATGATTTCATTGGTAGTAAGATGATAGGGACGTCGTTAGCAGACAGCAGGTAGATCGTAACTATTAGTACAGTTAACGTTACCAACGCTATCAAGAATTTATGCTGCAGAAAGAAAGATTGTATTTAGTTAAGGCATTGGATCACGTGATAGAATATGTTAGATTAATTAGTTATATAATTAGCGTTACAGCTACTATTCAGGTCATCTAAGACGTTTATCATACTGTCATACTTCATCATATATATCAATCATCTTATGTCTAAAGTTTCGTTCTGTCTCTGTCTTTAAGAATTTTCACTAAAGACAAACATACTTTTCCCTGATCTTACAGAAAGCCACGGCATTTTTATCTCACCCGGAAATCAGTATCAACATTTGGCTAAACTTTTATAAAAATAATATTCTGTCAAATAATACTAACTTCCTCTATCACAACTCATACTACTACAGCTTATTCAAACAAATTATAGTCCATTACAGCTCGTGTGCAGGCAATTTAGTTTAATTAAAGGGAACCACTTGGTTCTTCCTTTATCTTAATACCATTTACTTATTTGTACTCATCCATCTGTTACTAGGGACTCATTATTGTTATTAGATTAGTCAGGGGGAAATGTAGAGATGTCTGACTAATTAAATTTATTCAACAAAAGACGTAATATGAAGTTATATGTCTTATCCCTATTTCTATCTAGATATACCGTGGGGGAGGGAATTCACTATACTGAATCGGCTACTTGTGCAATTAACCAGGCCGTTCACATATATTTATTATTTGAGTGTTGATCGACCGTAAGTTCCACTGTATAGGAGTGAATGAGAAAGGGACGGCGTTTATGTATTATAAACGTTAGGTCACGTCCTTACGATATAACTTTCAGTGAGCGACTCAGGAGTGAGGGCCTCGCTGTGCGGGCTTACAGATATGCTGACTATGGGTCTCTCCCTCCTGGGAGAGTTGCCCTCTCACGTGTACAACTCATGTCTTACTCATAGACAGTGGAAAGTTACAGGGGGTGAATCTGAATATAATATCAGATGTATTGACCCATTTATATAATATGTTCTGTTGATGAGACAGGGGCCCATTACAATACACCCGTACGATTACAGACAAACCTCCATCAACCTTGCCGCGCCCAGTACTGTTGTCGCTAGTCCACGCCAGGTGCCCGACCAGACCACACCACACCCAACGCTAAACTGACTGTACATCTAACATTATCTCTTGGCAGTAGAGAGTATATTCTCAGTGTCCAATGATGGTCCGTCTTTCAAAGATTCTTTAGGCATTTTTTTTCACTTATTGTCGAGTTCAAAATATGGGCGTAGTCAAGCCAGTTCTATGGGTGGAGCTATCTCCATGTCACTTGGTTACAGATACTGTAACAACACAGAGCCCCACACGTCAAATTTAAAGTTCCCCTCATAACGACTAGCCGTCGTGCCCATAGGCGTGTGTGGGTGTGACCGTCCCTTTTATTACAAGCTTATCCAAACAATTTATGACCCACTACAGCTTATCCAAACATTTATAGTCCATTACAGCTTATTCAAACAACTTACGACCCGCTACAGCTAATTCAAACAACTTAAGGCCCACTACAGCTTATCCAAACAACTTATGGCTCACAAGAGCTTATTCAAACAGCTTACAACCCACTAAAGCTAGTTCAAACATTTTATGGTCCACTATAGTTTATTTAAACAACTTATGGCCCATTACAGCATATTTAAACAACTTATGGCCCACTACAGCTAATTCAAACAACTTATGATCCACTAGTGCTTATTCAAACGACTTATGGTCCACTACAGCTTATTCAAACCACATATGGCCCACTACAGCTTATTCAACAACTTATAGCCCACTACAGCTTATTTAAACAACTTAGGGCCCACTACAGCTTGTTGTTATGGCCCACTACAGTTTATTTAAAAACCCATGGCCCACTACAGCTAATTTAAACAACTCATGGCCCACTACAGTTTATTTAAACAACTTAGGGCACGCTACAGCTTATCCAAATGGCCCACTACAGCTTATTCAAACAACTCAAAACGTATACCTGTGCTGTCTATGATTTAGCAGAAAGGCCTTTACACACACATTCCTACAGAAAGGTGTAGAGATTTGGTTTATGTTCATAACTTCTGTCAAACAGTCAAACATAATTGCTACACAAGTAATCACAACAACCGTCCTCTCTCCTGAGAGGACCATGATGCTAACTTCACCAATGATATTGTGTGACCATTCATCAGAATGGAAACGTATAGATTTAAAAAAGGGTAAAGTAATTGAATAGCAAAATAATTGTAAATTACGGGTGATCTCGGAAGAAACAGGATTATTCAGAAGTTGTACCTCGGTATATGATGAGTGGGGGCAAATTATTAAAGTCGTGCTGCCAGGTTGTAGAGGAGGTCAGCCAGGCTAGCCTTTTCATAAGTGTTGATCCTGGTAATCTTAAGAGTGTGAGTGAGGAGGTCCTTTTCAAGGAATTAGCTAAGTTTAGGGATATAACATATTATCAAATTTTGTCCTGTGTCCTTTAACTTCCCCTGACCTACATATTATGATAATAATTAACCAGATTTTCCTCACAACTGATGGATAAGTGACAAAAAGTTTATCTCCTTCGTGACGACAGAGCGGTGAGTGAGGTTGTCATTATATTTTGTTTAATAATTATTAATTATAATTGATGGTATACTTCACTAAAAAAACGTGGGTGGCATAGTGTCACACATACATGGTTTTGGCCTGGGTGGCGCATAGCCTCATATATTGTATTGGTATTCATCTATCTGCGCTCGCAAGTCTAGGCCCATGACGTCATGAATTGTAGGTAGGGCCTCACATTCTCAGTGAATTTATTCTGTTCTCCATATATTGATATTGATATTTAGTAATGCGTGCCTTGAAAACTTCTTTTCTTACTCTTACTTGAGTTGTTTTCCATGGAAATTTAATCTAAGAAATTCATAATTAACTATATGTTCTTCAAGACGATTTTACTAGGTCTCCCTAGACAGCCCACTCCTTGTCTGGTCAGTTGGACGACTCGCGTTACCCTGTAGTAATGGTTTGTTATGACTTGTCAATTATTCAGCCTCAAGATACAACTGGGACAACATGAATACTAACACATTCGTAAATCACTTACAATGATTCTAGCTAATTTTAGGTTTACGCTACATGAACAAATTTCCCACGCGATTTTTAAGCTGTCTTTGATTTCTTCTCATTCGAATGAACTCCATTGTAACGTTAAATTTCGATTAACGAACTGCATTCCATAAGGATCTTCAATTCGGTTAACGAAACAAAATTCGGTTAACGAAGTTCTTACGAACCGACCTCAACATGTTTTCGCTTGTACTGACCCGGCAACTAGCTTTAGTATCAGTCCGCCAATACATTAATCGGTTCTAGGGCTTAAATTCCTTACTATTTTAGTAAATATCAAGAAGTTTATACTATTCAATAATTTTAAAAGTTTAATATTCAATTTTTTAGTCATTTTAACAATTATTGAACATAATTGAAGGTAAAGTGACTAGTTTAATGCGCCGCATCCAGCCTCTTAACACAGCAAACAGGAGTTAGTCTCTCTCTGTTTTCACTGGAGGTAACATCTTGCTTGAGACTCTCTTCAACTAAACGCTTTTTTTCTGTGTTTCCAAGCAAATTATTGGTCATTTTGAAATATATTTTACATATTGACAATATATAATGCAGTGCAGTGTTGATTAAAAGAAAATAATCTTGAATTACACCAAGAGAGCTAAAATTTTATGGGTGACCATGTGGTGACTTCTCTTCCACCCCAATGCCTTCTCTTCTTCCTTCTCCTCCACCCCCATTCTAAATCCCATCATCATCATCATCATCCAGGAGCCTTCTACATACACACCTCAAAGTAAGTGAACTTTTCTACCATTTTTGTTGAATTTAGGAAATATTCGGTGAGCTGGAACCAATTACCCAAAAACCCATTGAAACAATGGTTTCGGTTAACGAACGACCTTCTGGATTGAGTTCGTTAATGTTCAGAAATTTCAGAGTAATTTCAGACGCCGCGCCATTGGCGATATTGAGTTCAAGGTCGTCTGAGGGAAGACAGCGTTCCCGTGCTCCAGTACGTAGTGAGAGTTTCTGGAACTAGGCCTATACGATATTAAATGTAATTTACCGAGTTAATAGGGACGCAAATCATGAAATTAAATATCAGTTATTAAATTAAAAATAATTATAGATCATTTCCCAGTCTGAAAATGTTGCATATGTCCTAATTAAGCTGTTAATCGTCTGGTAAATAACTCACTCCTGAAAAGCGTGAACATGTGAGCAAGCGTGGCTTGGGGAGTTGTGAGAGAGGTCAAGCTAGCAGGACCATCTATGTTCTGTACCCAGGAGAGACGGATCGCGTGAACTGGTTCCTTCGTTTATTTAACATCAGTATTAACAAGTAAGTTTTATTCAATCTCAGACAAGGCTAGATAGGGAGGTAGGAACAAACTGTGATGTGAGACAATAGCTAACAGCCCGGGTTTTTTCAGGGTTCTGTAGAGCCCACGTGGTGTGAAAACGTTTACGGTATGATAACGTCCACTGGCGGTATGACTGCGAGTGATGACCGCGATTGATGACTGCCGTTTGACGCCATTGATGATTGATGATTGGCGATGGTCGCAGTTGGAACGATCAGTGCAGCCTTGTCACTGGTTAGCGGGGTTAGCAAGGGATCTCTTGAGTGAACGAGTGCTCCCGACAACTAAAACGACATGGGACCAGCATCAGCATTGGGTGATCAGTTCTCCCCACGTGGGTGCACAACACCACGTCTCTTCGGTCAGCTAGAAGTGTTACCTACTGGCCAGGGTCACCTGCTGGCGTTCTCTCTTCCCGCCCATGGATGCACTGAGTGTACACTGAGGCTATCTGAGTAAATTAATGGTCATACACTGAGACGAGGAGTCTAGGGGATACCTAGAGAAACATTTTATCTCCCTTATTATGGGTGTATGTTGAGTTGGGTGAAGCATGTTACAGGACATAATGTAAGGCGTATTTAGAGTGTGTATGTAGTTAATAATTTTCTTAATATCGTTTATTCCCAGCTCGCAGGGACTGATATTAACCTGTTGAGTGCCCTTAAGGCCTGTTCATGTGTGTAGGCAATAGGTCCTGTAGTTAATACTATTTTTTCAGTTACTGATATTATCTTGCTGTGTGTAGTTTAATATTTCTTAAATAATTTGAATAGTATTGTTTTTAATGTTTGTGTCACTAATTGATGCCAAAGACAGTGCCGGATTTAGACCTGTGGAGGCCCATGGGCAGCCTCTTTGTGGAGGCCCCCCTCATTATAACTACCCAAGGGGGTGGGGTGGCGAGTGAAGGGAGCCTAAACATCTGGGAGTTCCGGGTGGCGCCGTAAGCCCCCCGGGAAAATTTTGAAATTTGAACACTTCTTTGGAGAATTTTGAAGCCATATGCAGTTTTATTGAGGAAATTAGAACACAGCGCCCTGATGGCATTCGTAATGGAAGTGATAATGAAAAAAATATTTTATTTGTTTTTTTAATCTCAATTTCGTTATTCCATGTAGTTCATTTTTAATCAATATATGTTTGTGGAATTCTAAATATATTATTAGCAACACAAACAATAGCATTCATTAAAAATATACTGTTCATAGGAAAACCAGGTATTCATGATTTTCAAGGAGTCGGTATAAAGATGCATATTTTTGTTGTTGATAGTAGGGCAGCTTTGGATTCTTTGAACAGTGGGAGTCCAGTCTTCGAACACATTATTGGTTCATGTAGAAAATTAGTAAATACAATAAGGAAAAATGGCCATAATGTTCAATTTGTATGGGTCCCTTCACATGTTGGCATTGGTCTTAATGAAGCAGTAGATATAATAGCAAAAAGAGCCACGGAAAAGTACGAGATCGACATAATATGTACTAAAACCTTGAAACAATTAAGGAGCAAATTACGGAAAATACAATCAATAGATGATAATTTCAAAAGGAATGAAATATACGACAAAAGTGAAACAATGAAACATTACCATCATGTTCTCATGTAATAAATCATTTTTGTCTAATGTATATTCTCAGCCTTCGTGCTCCTGAACTTTTTCAATAAACCTTTGAGTATTATAATTATTATTATTATTATTATTATTATTATTATACACACAGTGTTTATTCAACAGTCATACTTCCCAAGCTCACCGATGCCTCCCCTGCCCGGTCTTCCTCCCTAAATGCCACACATCGGAAACACCTAGAAAAGGTACAGAAGAGGGCATGCAAGATTATTCCGTCCCCCTCCTACTCCACATATCAAGAAGCCCTTAACACACTGACCCTCTCGGCTCTCTCTGATCATCACCACGACCTCATCTGCAAATTTCGTGAGAAGCTTCTGCACCATCCTCCACCAGGTCCTCCTTCCACCTGAGATCTCTCGTCCGCTAATTGCTGTTCGACACCACAACCACATCCAGCCTATACAAGCACGTAATGATCGCTATAAGAACAACCCAGTCCCAACCACTGTAAAAATTATCAACAACTCGTAGTCAACCAGTGTGTTTACTCCTAGCCAATCTTACCTTTTTGCACTGTTACTATGTTGAAATGCCCTGTAGTATGACCTTCTCCCCACCTTGCTTTATATATCATATTTGTGTCACTAATGTTACTTGTATATTATTTGTCAATCAAGTGCTCCATTCCCCAATTATGGTGCCGCATATTTTCAACCTTCTGGTTGCCATGCTCAATAAACAGTTAATTATTATTATTTTTATTATTATTATTATTATTATTATTATTATTATTATTATTATTATTATTATTATTATTATTATTATTATTATTATTATTATTATTATTATTATTTGTTATCGCCGCTGGCTTCAGCTACACTGCTGGCGTGTGATGCCATTAAATCCTTCGACCCGTGACCTCGCCAGATGCAGAAGTGTTTACAGTCAAGTCCTGGTTCTGCTGAGTGGACTGTCTTCGACTGGTGGCGGTGCTGCCCGCCCCTCCATGAGACAGATCGCCCTCTCTAGTGATGCTGTGAAGACCAGCCTTCTCCTGTCCGAGAATTTGTGCTGGGACGATTTACTCAATAATGTTGCCTCTTGGAACACAATACTGATCTGCATTGACCCGCACTTGTAAGTACAGCCTAAGTGATGACATACCCCTCGGTACTGAAATATTGTTGACTAATTACGCCTACTCGTTTCTGCCGAACTTGGAGTAATAAGAAAATGCAGAATGAAGCGAAGCTAAGATTAATAGAGTTATAAACTTTGTGTTATGTCTGTGTGTTTAATAAATTGTAATTCAGATAAAATTGTGTAAGATTAACTAATTATGTATGAGATGGATCACCATGTATTATTATGAAAGCCTTCTCCTCTGCAAGTTTTGACCACATCAATAAATATTGAATGCGTCAAAAGACGGGTTTCAATTATTCCCTTCGACTTGCCCGTCACCTGAATGTCCTTAACTAAGGCGTTTACATTATTATTATTATTATTATTATTATTATTATTATTATTATTATTATTATTATTATTATTATTATTATTATTATTATTATTATTATTATTATTATTGCACACACTCACACACACACACACACACACACACACACACAATCTCTTTCACCGAGAGAAGATGTCTTTTTCTTTGCGTTTAATAATAAATACTGCCATTTGAAGTTATGAATATGTAATCTTGAGGTTCACATGCTAAACCAGTGTGACTTTGCATTGCAATTCTCCTGCATAAATAAATATCTATCTATCTATCTATCTAAACACGAGCAAGATTACCAGTTTATTCATGGTGATAGTGATGAAACAGGTAGTCGTGGCGATGAAACAGGTAGTCGTGGCGATGAAACAGGTAGTCGTGGCGATGAAACAGGTAGTCGTGGCGATGAAACAGGTAGTCGTGGCGAAGAAAGACCAGACGATGGTTGTGACCAGATGGGCTTGGCGGCAGTAACAATGGTGTGGTAGCCACCGTGCTTTCATCAATTACGTTACACAATGCAGTAACTTGTAATATACTTTCTTATACACACCTGTTTGGGAACATATGATACATTATTATTTGAGTTTTCTTGCCAGTATTTTTATTTTTCGGATATTAGGGATAAGTGCATAAGCGATAACTTCTATGTACGTAAATATCTTTTTTAATCACATTTCTGACTGGCAATTGATAATATAGTACATCATAATACTGTACATATGAATGATCAGATTCATACATTACCTAACCTAACTTATCCTGACATACCCTAACTTATCCTAACGTAACTTTACCTAACCTACTTAAGGTAAAGCTATCTTACGATGGTAAACGTCTTAAGTAAAATAGAGCAAAGTTTACCATATATAAAGAAATTTGTATTAAGTTGTAGATGTAAAAATCAAGTTATCCCGATTTAACAAATATGTCATTAACATTTTAAAAGCTAATCAGATATTAACCCTATTAAGCATAACACACACATTATCACATTGTCAGACCGGATAGACACAGTTACAGCCTCAAAGAATAACATCTAATATCTAATATACTATAGGAATAGGCGTGTGCCTGTTTGTCTGTTTGTGTGTGTGTCTGTTCTGGGCAGCCGAAATGGCACAATCGTTTTTCATCAAACTTGGTGGAAAAATCGCAAAAAAATCGTAGAGTGGAACAAACCTGGTCCCATATCGATGGTTTCTTTAGGAAGCCATTAATTAACCATTTTATTTAAGCTGGAAAATGATGAAAGTCTACGGACTTGGCGCACCCTCCTTCCTCCTCCCCCCACTTTTTTCTTAGTCTACTTTTGTTTTAATGTTGTTTGTATTAGTAAAGGAAGGAAGATGAGTAAATAGAAGAATAAAGAAGGGGAAACAGAAAATAGTTAGAGATCACAGGTGGGGGGAGCTGAGTTTCATCCTGCATCTGGATGCGCAGTTTCAACGTTATCAGACGACCTTACAGCTACAATGTGTACTTATTCCTGTGGGTGACTGTACATGGAAAAGGAGAAGAGATAAAAAGATAATAACAGGAATGAATGGAGAAGATGACTACAATAGATACAGGGTGAATATAGACAGTGAAACAGACCGGAGGTTGACAAAAATAGACAGATTCATACATGCACAAATAGACAATATGGCAACTAACATGACAGACAGACAGCTGACTGACTGGTTCACATTAGACAAACAGGCAGACACACGCCAACAACGGATAAGACATACAGATTTGACGACACAAAGAGTACAGACGGGCTTACAGTCAAACACCACGCAGACGAACAGACAGTTGGGATGGCAATAGACACGACGGATAGACTTGAGACAGATTAGAAGGCATTTATAAACAAGAATAATACCAAATTGACCATAGCTGCGTCAGTGAGGGTAGGAGGTCTTACATCCACCAGCGTAAGTAATAAGACGCATTGAAAACTCACACCCTCGCCGGGAAAGAACATCGATGGTCGGTCAGTCATGTGAGATGGACCTAAAACTGACTAACATAGATGATGGCTATGATGACTCAACACAGGTGATGACTTAAGCAGATGGTGACTAATCTAACCAGAATCAAGGTCACTTCTCTTCATAATATAATTTATCTCGGAATGATCATCGGTGAGTCATAATAATTTTTTTTTTATGACAGTAACCACGACCATGATTATAACAACCATGACCATGAATATAACAACCACGACTATGATTATAACAACCACGACTATGATTATAACACCCACAACCATGATTATAACAACCACGACCATGATTATAACAACCACGAATATGATTATAACAACCAAGAATATGATTGTAACAACCACGACCATGATTATAACAACCACGACCATGATTATAACTGAAGGTTCCAAGTGTTCCCTGAAGAAGGCAGTGATGGGTAGGGAAACACCGGGTAACACTGAAGTCCATTTATTAAAGGATAGGAGAAATACAAGTGGTGACTTGCGTGTGCCATGCACGGCCCACAGAGTCAAACTGAGACTGCCTTGCTATATGGCAGCCTCGGGGCAATGTTGCCACATAACACGTGCAGTGTTGCCACGTAATTACATATATAAATGCTACTCGGCACAGTAGCTTAGATACATAACCTACATCTCCCTCCCCCCTCACGCTCATTGTCTTTGTCTTGAGCGGACTTCTTAGTCCTAAGTCGCTCCAAGCGTCGAGGTGCACTGTGGGGCGGATCCTCGTGAGGTGTAGGGGACTCGTCCTCGGCCAGGGGGCCAGCAGCAGGGGGTGGGACTGGCCGGAGGAAGCGGTGGTTCCTCCACCAGACACGGCCGCTCGGCATCCTGACCTTGTAGTCCCGCGACCGGCCGACGCCCATCACTTTGCCCACCTTGTCCCAACGTGTCGTCGTCGGGTCCAGGACACGGACAAGGGCACCAATCTCCAGTGGCTGAAGAGGGCGGGCATGGTCGTCATACCGAGCCTTGGCGGTCGCAGCTCTCGGCTCTGGTCTGCCACTCCTTCGCAAAGACCTTGGCGGCCTTGGCATGTGCAGGAAAACGGAGAGGGTGACCATACAGGATCTGGGCAGGGGAGCGTCCTGTGTGGGTAGGAGTGGACGCGGGTTCTGGGCAGCTCTGTGCGGCAGCGCCAGGCGCGTCGCTCGTTGATTCACGCATCCTGCTGGCGGTGTACCGAGCAGCTGGGATCTGCTCGGGAAAGTCTCTGGGCACCACGCCTAACTCCTTGCAGTGCTCCCACGACAACAAGGGTGTAGCGAGAGTAAGCTGCACGTCGATCCATCCGTGACACGACCTGTCGCCGTAAGTGATCTTCGCTTGAAAGGAGCCCACAGCGTCCGGCATCTGGGAACCGTCCGCATTGTAGTACTGCAGTTGCGGCGGTGGTCCCAGGCCGCGTTTGGTGGGGCCCAGTTTCTGGAGGTGCTTCAGGCCTATCACCTTAGTATCAGCGCCGGTGTCCGGTATCACCTCGATGTGACCCGACACATCACCGTGTGTGACGGCGACGCGGATGGTAGGGAAAGGGGTAGCCCTGGGGCGTGTGGTCGAGTCCACCCATCTGAAGTGACTCAGCTGCTGCTTGGGGCTGCGTGGGCCATCTGAAGTGGGCTGCGTGCGAACCACCCCGAGGGAAGTGCGCTGCTTTCCTCCTCATCTCGGGCTTTTGGGCTGGGGTTGGCGGCAGCACTTGTCGTAGTGTCCATAGCGACCGCAGGCCTGACACTTGTGGCCTTGTGCAGGGCACCTGTCTGTGTTAGACCAGTGGCCCTTACGGTCACATCCACGACACACGTGCGTCGGCGGCCGGGCATGTCTTGGGGCCATGCTGCTTTCCACAGCTGCCACAGGAAGCACTAGGCAGCCTTCACGTTGTTGGCCGCCTTCTTATCCTTCTTGTACTGTGAGAAAGCTCTCACAGCAGGTGTGGCCCGTAAGGCAGAGGTGGCGGACTTGGTGGCCTCGTATGACCGACATTTAGTCACTACCACCTGCAGTGTGGAGGAAGCGTCCAGGGGGATGAGTCGCTGCACCAACTCTTCTTGCCTGACACCTGCCAAGATCCCGTGCTTGATCCAGGCTTCCTCACATTCCCGGCTGAGCGCCTTGCAGACGTCGATCTCCTCCGACAATCTCTTCAAACGTACAAAAAAGTCGTCAAAGGATTCGTTCTCTGCCTGCTTGCAGCTGGTGACGGCGCGGCGACACAAAGCCTCGTTATTCCGACCCTTAACGTGCTCCTGCAAAAGGTCGAGCACATCCGTCACTGAAGAGGTAGAATCGGGAGGCACTTGCAACGTGTGCTCCAAAACTCTCTGGGTCTCCAGCGACAAACACATCCGCAATTGGATGAGCTGTTTGTTTGGAGGCATGCTGTCAAGGTCCACCATCGTGGAGTAATGTGTCCACCGCCGCCTCCACTCACGAAAAAGCTGAAACGTGACGTCTGGTGCGAGGGAGGGTGGGGGTTGAACAGATGCCTTGGGAGCTGTTGGAGTTGCAAGAGTACCTGGAGGACGCTGGTGTGGTGGGGGAGGGAGGGTACTGGCGCCTTGGTGCGCGATACCTGCGAGTGAGGGAGGGTGGGTTAGCGCCAGGGTTGCCAATAGTGCATCAAAGCGCGACTTTTCCTCCTCTCTTCGTATCTCCTCCCTCTGAAGTTCCATCTCTCTGCGTCTCTCGTCCCTGTAATCCATCCACCTCAGAATTGTGGCAATGTCCGTCGCTGGAGGTGGAGGATGAGAGTCTGCACCCGGTGGAGGGGATGGTGGTGGGGAGTCGTGTCTGCCATCTTGACATTGTCCCTTCTTACCGCCCATCTTAGTATGCTTGAACTGCGTGGTTTAGTATATAAAGTGGCGCCTCATCAGCTCGAACCACATATATATGACATAAACAGCGCAAAAATAACGCATAGAGTCCACTGTTCTGTCCGTGAGTGCGTGCGTGCGTGTGTGTGTGTATGTGTGTGTGTCTCAGAGAGCATCGTGGGCTGGAGCCGCCGAGGAGGTGAGAACGTTAGTGTCATTAACTCGAATACGCTTAATTGCTTCAAACATAGGTTGGATGCTCATATGAGCAATAGGGGTTGGGTGTAAACGGGACTGCCCAGTATGGGCCAATAGGCCCGCTGCAGTTTCCTCCATTCTTATGTTCTTATGTCTCCCCAGATGTCAAGCGAGAAGGGTGTACGCCTGCGTGCTCCGTGGATACCACAAAAAAGAGGCCAATGCACAACTCTCAGCTCTAGACACATTAATACACTGACACTAACACTGCTACCGTCACTAAAACGCACTGTGACGAAGCAACACTGCACGTCGCGGCGAAACACAACTCAACACAACACAACACACTAAGAGTTGACGCGCACATCGCCGGCAGTCGCACACCGCCGGCTAACTGTCCATTGTTCACACTTGTAAGTCCACAGATCCTACTCACTGCGCCATGAAGGTTCCAAGTGTTCCCTGAAGAAGGCAGTGATGGGTAGGGAAACACCGGGTAACACTGAAGTCCATTTATTAACGGATAGGAGAAATACAAGTGGTGACTTGCGTGTGCCATGCACGGCCCACAGAGTCAGACTGAGACTGCCTTGCCATATGGCAGCCTCGGGGCAATGTTGCCACATAACACGTGCAGTTTTGCCACGAAATTACATATATAAATGCTACTCGGCACAGTAGCTTATTTACAAGGTTGCTACTCGGCACAGTAGCATAGATACATAACCTACAATAACAGCCACGACCATCTATCTAATATACTATAGGAATAGCCGTGTGTCTATGTGTGTGCCTGTTCTGGGCAGCCATAACGGCACAATCGTTTTTCATCAAACTTGGTGGAAAAATTGCAAAAAAATTCGTAGAGCTGAACAAACCTGGTCCCATGTCGATGGTTTCTTTAGGAAAGCATTAATTAACCATTTTATTTACGCTGATAAACGATGTCGCTGTACGCCTTAGTAAACTGTACCGCCGGACTCGCCACCGGGCAAGAAGGGCCCAGGATCACTTGTGTTTTATCTACTGACTGATGGTGGCCAATATCAATGATAATGTTATGTTAAAAGTAATAAAGTATAAATATGCTCTACCATAATGGTAGAGTGTATTTCATCAATGGTAAAATGGTAGTACCAGTTAACCATTGATCATCTGTAAATTGTGTATTTCATAAAGGATATGCATATACAGTAGAAATGCCATATAAGGGATTGTTCACGTAATCGAGGTATCTGGCACACGCTATGGGTGTTCGTGCATACGTGTCTCCGACGTTGCCGTGTTGGCCAAAACTGGCTGGCTTAAGAATTTGATCGCGACTGTACGTGCATCTTTGTGAATCACCCTGTATATCACTTGTTGTTTACTATAAGTCACCTGCTGGTCAATATATAACACATGTTGGTCACTATAGATGACTTGTTGGTCACAATATATTACCTGATAGTCATATATAACATCTGTTGGTCACTATATATCACTTGATCGTCACTATATAACACTTGTTGGTCACTATGTATCACCTGTTGGTCACTATATACTGTATCACCTGCTCGTATCTTTCTATCATAGTTGCCACTTGTTTTAGGTTTTACACACACACACACAAACGGACCTCCTTTTTACCTTCAGTGACGAGGAGTCAGACACAACTGTGCCTAATCCACAGTTCTAATGAATGACACCGCGCCGCACCGCTTATCTACACTATCTTATCTCCGGTTGTTTTTCAGAGAGAGAAACATAAGCATTATTCGCAAATTTTCTTTCTGTTATATAATTCATGGCATGACACATCCTGAGTTCCATGAATACGTTGATATAAGCTTTAAGGGGAGATATTCACCTGTACCTCACTAAGGCTCTTCAGTAACTAAGGAGCGTCTTCAAGGTTAGTAAATGTTGATATTAAAGTGTGTTACTGAGCGTTAACAACTGATGTAGGGTCTTTAAGCGCTTATTCTCGTTAGTTTAACAAATTTATTGACAAAGCTTATTCTAGGTTGGTAAATACACGACAGTGTTCATCAACACTGGACACTGACTTGGACGAGTACCGTAAACGAGATGTTGAGTTATTATCTGTATGTTGATAAAGCAGCGTCACCTCACTCGAGTGTTGTCTTAGCTATTTGACTTCCGACATTTTCATCAGACAAAAATGTAGTCGGTACTGTTTTTTGTTTTTGTTTTTTAATTTTCTTTGTTTTTCGGAAGAGCAATTCATAGTGGCAACCAGATTAAAATATAATAAATAAACAAATTATGAATTATAATAATCACCACCACCCCGATTCGATCTCTAAGCATATTGTAGTGGATTCCTCCCCTACAAACGCTTGTCGCTGAGTAGCCGACCCCGCGAATTCCCCAGTGTATGCCTCGTGGTCTAGGTCAACCAGCGCCGCCTTACATGACGGAGGTCAACTAATAAGCCACGCCTACCTCCGCTATATAAGACCTGACCTCGTGGTGACCTCTATCGACTGCTGGACACGGAGCTGCGAAGACCTGATTCTTTTGCTGCATGTTTGAGTCTGCAACTTTGTTGTGATAAGACACTCAATCCTAGTGATTGTACTTACTCAACATAGTGACGGTGTAATTACCATCACAGATTGTACGGGAAATTCCAACTTTGGAAAAAACAAATATTTGGCCTACCCAAATTTTGACTACTACCCGTGCGTCTACGTCCTGGATTGGCCAATCAGTGGTGCCCCACGGTGGCGTGATACATGCACGTTTACTGCGGTGCTCTGATTGGCTGACCGAACGTGGCGTGGTAGGTAGGCTGTTTCTACTCTCTAAGTCCTCTTCTTTCCTTTTTTCATCCCCCTCATGCACTCCGTTCTTTGAACGGGAGGCGGGACTTAGCGATACGGTCGATCCGGCAAGGGAACCTGTGATAGTGCAGGGCACCCCTTGTCCGGGGGTCACCGGTAGGTGGCAACTTTCTTAGACATAACTATAGTCACAGGTAACCTGGGTGCAGAACCCTACGAGCCCGACGCCCGTCCAAGAGGGGGGGGCGGGGTCACTGCTCCCAGGCAGGAGCCCTGTGTTATAGGTAGGATTAGATGTAATCAAGAAGATGACAACAAGCATTAGAATAAAACATAGAGATAAGGGACACTCTATTGGAAGGGGAAAAGTGGCAGAAATCACTTACAACAAACTGCAAGTCCCACTAACTAGAATATTCAGCACCAATGAAGGTTTTAAAGTAATCTGTAAAGATGACTTTGATTCAGATAAAATCCTTTCAAAAGAAGCCAGAGATATATTTTACAATGAAGGCCTTATTGTTGTCATGCCACCAGAACAAAAAGCAAAAAGATCAGTTTTTGTTCGTCAAGTCGATCAAGAGATCGGGAGGAAGACATCGGAAGACCTGAAAGAAGAACTGGAACGCCAAAATAGGTGGATGAAGATTGAAGAAGTCATTAAGATAAAGGACTATACTCATGTTTTTAAGATTACTTTTGAAGAAGTGTCAATGGCTGAGAAAGTTTTACAACAGGGCTTTCTAATATTCAACATGTCAGTCACACCACATCAAATAAAGAAGGAGACATTCATCAGTCTGCAAACTTGCTTCTCCTGCTACAAATATGAAGAACACACAACGAGAGACTGTCCGGAAAAAGAAAAAAAGTACTGCTCAGATTGTGCAGGCGACGACCATACCTACACTGAATGTAAGAATACACATGTTGGCTGTCTCAACTGTAAGAGAAACGGGAATGTATACATAGGACATAGGACGTTAGCAATGGCATGCCCAATAAAAAAACACATGATAAAGTACAAGGAACAAGAAACAAGGAAAAAGGAACAAGACAAGAAGGATACGACATACGTCGAAATAGCAAAGAGAGCGGTCCAAGAGGCTCATAGACCAGAATCCACCATATTAAACCTAAGTGAGCCAATACATGATAAGGTAATGATTAGTATGATCCATGCACATTTGCACAATATCATTGCACCCGGATCATACAACGAGGAATTAAGGAAAATGTTTAAATTGAATAACCTACCAGAGATGATATTTCCAGAGAATCCACAATCCGAAAAACTATTTCAGACAACATATGCAAGCGAACTGAGAGAAAAACTACATCAAGACGAACAAAGGTTTGAGCAAGGAGCAACAGCTGATACACAAGGAACACAAGCGACTGATAGAGATCCCAGACAAATGACTAGAAGTGACAAAGAGAAGATAGAAATAACAAAAGGACAGACTATAAGACAAAGGAGTAGGAGGAGAGAAGATAAGATGGAAACTGATCACAATATACAACCTGAATCTGCTGAAGAAATTGGATTAAAAGTTATCACTACAACAAAACATGGAATCCCAACATCGAGACCAACAGGAGGGACAATAGTAAAAAACTGTGAAGGAGGGATATACAAGTGGACATATCAAGAAAAATCCCTAAGTGAAGATTATGTCTGGTCACTAATTACTACAGACAAACTAAAGATTACGGCCAAAGACTTTAAAATAGTAGACCCGTCAGAGTATAGAAGAATCAGAAGCGGGAAACAGGATGATAGGTCTCCACTCCAACTGCCACAATCCAAGTATAAGAAATAATGGACAATAGACAAACAGTAAGAACTTTAAGAATAATACAACACAACGTAAGAAACTGGAAGACCGAGAGAATTAACCTAAGTAATATATATCAAGAAATTGACCCTGACATTATACTAATAAACAGTCACGGTGAGACAGAAAACAACAACATAAAACTCTTTAACTATTATGTAAACCAAAGAAATAAATCGGGCGAGAAAAATGACGGAGTAGCGATAGCGGTTAAAAGAAACTTAAAATTTAAACTAATTGATGACTTCCAGGATGAATTTCTAGCAATAAAAATAAATACAACTCAAGGAGACGTAATTATTGCTACTACTTATCTCCCACCGAGACGACCCTACTTACCTATAGAAGACCTATTAAAATTGGCTAACAATAGTCATCCGATGTACATCTTAGGAGACTTTAACGCCAGACATAGGATTTTTGACAATACAAATAATAACGTCGTGGGAAACGCCCTTAATCAATTAATAAATTTAGGGAAAATCAATCATCTGGGTCCTAACTTTCCAACCTGGAGAAATCACAATACACAATCGACACCAGACAAAATTTTTACCAACAACAAAGCCTTTTTCAATTACCATATAATACAGGGACCTCTTACAGGCAGTGACCATCTGCCAATTATACTAACACTGTCAACAAGCCCCATACAGATACCAATAAAAAAGAGACTGAAAATGAGTAAAACAGACTGGGACAGCTTCAAAGACGACTTAAGTAATCACCACTCGATTAACCTACAAGGGAAAACAACAGAAGATATAGACTCAGAAATGGACAGACTGCATTCAGCAATAAAAACATCTATAACCAAACACACTCCTACTTCACACTTTAGAACATTACCCAACAACAGACTACCAGAAGAAGTTAAATTAATCCAGACCTATTACAATGAAATAAACAGGTATATGGAAAGACACGGCAGTAACAGATGGCTATATACGACACAGATAGCACTACAGATAAAATTAAGAGACGCATGTAAGGAAGCAAACAATAAAAAATGGAATGATATTATAATGGCGGCTGACATGACTAAAGACACAAAAACATTTTGGACTTCCATAAACAAGATGATGGGGCACAACAAGCAAAAAACACCATACATTAAAGACCAAAATGGAACAAAATTGCACGAGGAAAATGAACAAGAGTCAGCATTCAAAAGGGAATGGGTAAAAGTTTTTAAAATATCAGATGAGGAAAATGAAGATTTTGATAGTGAACACGAAGAAAGGATAGAAGAAGAAATGGGAAGACAAATACATAGAATCACCCCAAGGCAATATATAGACTATAACTTATTACCTAATAATCAAATAATAACCATGGAGAAATGATGCACTGTCTGAGGAAATTTAAGGAAAAAGCCCTGGGCTCACAGGTATTACACGAAATATGATCATGAATCTACCTGAAAACATTTTAAATACACTATTAAACATTTATAACGCATGCTTAATAACTGGTTACTTTCCAGACAAACTAAAATATGCTAAAATGATATTTATTCCTAAAGAGGGTAAGGACAATAAGGAAATATTAAACTACAGGCCAATATCTTTATTAGAAATTACCGAAACTATTGGAAAAAATATTAAATTCAAGACTTATAGCCTTTTTAACACAACATGGGAAAACTAACAACAGACAACATGGATTTATGCCCAATAGAAATACCCTAACTGCAATAGCTATAGTAACGGAAATAATTGCAATAGAAAAAAGCAAGGGTAACCAGATCAATATAATTTTAAGGGATGTTTCTAAGGCTTTTGATAAAGTTTGGCATTTAGGCTTGAAATATAAAATATTAAAACTGGGACTTAACGAATACTTGCTAAGAATATTGTGTAACTATTTAGATGATAGGAGAGCACAAATTCAAATTGGAAACTTTTTAGGAACTATGTTTAATCTTGAGAGTGGAGTACCTCAAGGAGGATGCCTTTCTCCAACACTATATACAATTTATACTTCAGACACACCTCAACCTACCCCCTTTAGCGAATATGTAATGTTTGCTGATGATATTACTCAAA